AAAACTTGAGAAACTGGGCATACTTTCAATTGGATCTTATGGGTTGAATCAATAGAGGAAGTTATATTTATGAACTGGAACAGAATCACACTTACGCGCCATTTCTCCTATGCTTAGCTGGATCCCACACACGTTATCTAATCCAATAAATCATACACAGTTCCCATCCTTATTCACAGTAAACATCATATTCTTATTATTTCTGAAGAAGGGTCTAGACCCGAAATGTCAGCTTTCCTGCTCCTCTGATGCTGCTTGGCCTGCTGTGTTCATCCAGCTCTACACCTTGTTATCTCAGACTCTCCAGCATCGGTAGTTCCCACTATCTCTGATACTCTTATTTTACCCATGTTTCAAAGATGACACATGCACCAGAGGGATTTAAAAAAAAAAATTCTACTTCCTAAATAAGTATATGGCCTTCACTGCAGCTTATTACATGATCCTTCACTACCTTAGATCACTCCACCAATGCTAGATTTGTTTTACCATCTTGATTCCTTTGCTCCACCAATGACTGGATCAATACAATCTAACTACTTGAATTTTCTCTTCATTCTTCCACTATTTTTGTAGTAGGACACCCACTTTGCAGAACACCTATGTTCTGTCTACAAAAATGACCCTGAGTTTTTGGTTGCCTGCCACTTCAACACACTATCATGCTCCCATGCCAACCTCTCTGTCTCAGGCCTGCTACAGTGCTTCAGCAAAACTCAGTGCAAGCTGGAACAACAGCATCTCATTTTCCACTTGGGGACCCTGTGGTCTTCAGGACTCCATTTTAAAGCCTGAACACCTTCCTTTATGTCCTCTGCCCACCCCCACACCTCTGGCCTTCTCATGACATGGGCTGCTTTCATCACAGCCAACCCATTTTCACTCACTAATGGTCCCAATTATTGGCTTTTCTTTCTCCGTGGCTCACCGTTATCCATCTTAAATGCTGTTCTCTCTCTCGAGACTCCATCTCCACATATCGTGTACTCTGATCTCCCCTCCTCTCCCAACTCTCACCCCATTATCGTCAGCATATATAGCACACACAAATCTTCTCAAGAAGAGTCACTGGACCAGAAACATTCACAGATGCTGCCCACAGATGTTGCCAGACCTGTTGAGTTTCTTCAGCAATTTCTGTTTTTGCTTTGAGAAGTATCCATTTCAGTTTACAAACATGTTGAAAATGAATTCATTTGCATTGCATTTCAAGATGAATTGAGTTTGTTTTAACCATTTTTGAAGAAAACAAGTATATTTCTCTATATACTGAGACTTTTGTTCATTAGAACAGAAAACAAAGATGCTTCAAGGGGCTTTGGATGGGCTGGCGTTGTGGGAAAAAATGTTGCAGATGGAATTCCATGTGGAAAAACATGAGGTGATCCACTTTAGGAGGAAAACTGCAACAGAAAGTACTTCTTAAATGGTGAGAATCCCAGAAGTGTTGAACTCCAAATGGACTTGTGTTTCCTTATTCACAAGTCACTGAAAGTTAACATATAAGCATAGCAAGCAGTTAAGAAAGTAAATAGTAAATTGTCCTTAATTATAAGAGGATATCAGCACATGGCTGCAATTATGTACAACCTTGGTGAGACCACATCTGGCGCATTATGTTTAGTATTATTCTCTGTATCTATGGCAAAATATTCTTGCCAAAGAGGGTGTCTTAAGGATGGTTCACCAAATTAATTCCAGCGATGGATGAATGGATTGTTCAATGAGCGAGGTCTAAGTAAACTTAGAGTCATAGAGTCATACAGCATAGAAACATACCCTTCGGTCCCACTAGGTCTACCATGTTCCAAACTAAACAAGTCCCACTTGCCTGCATTTGGCTTATAACCCTCAAAAGCTTTCCTATTCATACACTTACCAAATGTCTTTTAAACATTGTAACTGTACCTGCATCCACCATTTCCTCTGGTAGCTCGTTCCACATACAAACCATTCTCTGTGTAACAAAAAAAGTTGCCCCTCATATCCTTTTTAAATCTTTCTCCTCTCACCTTAAAAATATGGCCCCTAGTTTTGAACTCCTCCAATCTAGGGAAAAGACCCTTGCTATTCACCTTATCTTTGCCCCTTATGATGTTATAAACCTCTAAGGTCACTCCTCATCCTCCTATGCTCCAGTGAAAAAAGTCCCAGCCTATCCAACCTATCTTAACAATTCAAACCTTCCATTCCCAGCAACATCCTAGTAAATCTTCTCTGAACCTTCTCCAATTTAATAATATCTATCTTATGGCAGGGTGACCAGAACTGTACACAGTACTCCAGAACAGCCTCACCAATGTCCTGTACAACCTCAATATGACATCCCAACTCCTATACTCAAAGGTCTGAGCAATGAAGGCAAGCTTGCTTAATGCCTTCTTAACCTACATGTGAGAAAAATTCAAAGAATTATGTACCTGAACCCCTAGGTCAATCTGTTCTATAATATTACCCAGGACCTACCATTTATTATAGAAGTCCTGCCCTTGTTTAGTTTACCAAAACGCAATACCTTGCATTTATTCAAATTAAACTCTATATACCACTCCCTAGCCAATTGAGCCAATTGATCAAGATCTCTTTGTAGTCTTAGATAACCTTCTTCACTGACAACTATACCATCAATTTTGGTCTCCTCCGCAAAATAAATAACCATGTCTCCTAAATGCCTATCCAAATTGTTTATATAAATGACTGAGCCCACAATCTTTGGTGTTCAGAAGAATTAAAGGTGATCTCATTCAACATACAAAATTCTCAGAGGGGTTGACAGGAAGGACATTTCTCCCAGCTAGGTTGTTTTTTTGGGCAAAGTTGGGATGATCTAGAACCAAGGGACGGAGTCTCTGAATGGGACTGAGATAAGGAGGAATTTGTTCACTCAGAGTGGCAATTCTTAGAACATTTTGTCGCAAGGGCAGTGGAGGCTCAGTTACTGAGTATTTTCAAGACTGAGCTCAATAGATTTCTACATCTTAAAAACATCAAAGGATACAGGGCTGCTATGGAAAAAAGGTGTCAAAGTAGAAAATCAACCATGATCTCACTGAATGGTAGAGCAGGCTTGAAGGGCTGAACAGTCAACTATTGCTCCTTTTTTTTTATGTTCTTAATTTTCAATATGCTTATGATTTGTAAAAGCTTTCTCAAACCCCCTTTTGTATAAACTATATAGGCTGTTTCTTATCAGTAACTTCAATACGAAGCATAGCGGCTGCTAAGCGCCTGGAGGCAAACAACTTTGAATTTAACTCTACACTACATTTTAAAAGTGATTTTTTTTTTACAAATGAGTGCTTCTCTTATTCTATTCACTATTGATGATTTCAAAGTAGTTATATAATTTGCTTGATCAGTACTGAAGCAAATTGTTAAACGGTACATCATTGCCTTGGTATTGAGCTCTTGTTGTCCCTACTTCGGGGACAGAAACCTTGGTTTCAAGTTCCATTTCAGGACGTGATGGCCATGAAAGGGGCTCATAATGGAGCTATACAGGCAGATTTTCACACAGATAGATTCTGAAGGGTTAAAATTGAGCCGTACCAGAAGCGCCACCCACTATGATGATGTCATATGAACTTGAGTGCAGAAGAGGATCTTGAAGGAGTGACCTGTGCTCCTCCTCAAAGTACTGTAACAACATCCATTACATTAATGAAACCTGTAACTAGTTGATAATATATATTAAACAAAATTTTTTTTAATTACAAGAGATTCTTCTAGTTAAACCAGGATGGTTTTCCTTGACCAAACCGAAGAAAGCAGACCCTGTAGTTTCCTACACTTAAAAAGGACAGTGGTGTCGACCTCCATCATGAGCAGAAGCTCATACAGTGTAGTGAGCTGCAAAATGCCCCTGGCAGGAGGTAAGGGCAGGAGAATTTATTAGTCAGTCAGAACCATGCATTGGCTATAATATGACAATTTCCCCATGTTAAAAGTCTCCACGCATGTCTTGCCATAAGCAAGTATCATTCTCATTCAGAGATGATCACACACAATTCCCTTGTCTACGATACCCGTTCCCAAAGGGCTCACTCAGTAATGCTGCTTTCCCTTCAATACACGCATTCATATGTACCAAAGCCAGCAGCTTTTGGGTGTTATATATTTCATATCCAGAGCCTTTCAGAGTGTCAGAGTGTCCTAAAACTTTTTTTAAACAAAATTCTTCAGAAACGTGATTGAAACTGCATGCAAGAAATAAAAGCGAAGTGTAGAGAATACCAATACAGTTTACCTTTATCTATTTCTGTTTTAATAAGTTTTGCTGAACATGAGCCCTGCAGCATTTGACAGTATACTGGATCAAATTCATCATATAAAATATGGATTGATTCTCTTGCTTTTTATGATGCTTAAGAATAGTGGCTAGGTATTAAATAATTGCAAAAAGACAAGCAGAATTCACTAGCAACGTAAAATAACTGTACAGGTATGCTGAATCTTAATGCTGCAGGTTAACCCATTTCAGCACAAAATACCCTTTACTATTGTGTAAGAATATTGTTATGTGGTTAAAATGTGAAAGACTGTGTTTTGCCTTGGTGTTGTCATTAATTACTACATTTTGACTTAATTAGAATAAGCATGATAAAGCTTGTGGAGCTCCCAGAACTTCCATTTTGATGCTTGCTAGCATGGGAAACTGCAGAAGTGAGACTCAGCCCTCTTTTATTCAATCTGACATTCAAGCCTCATTCCCTTTAGTCTGTGATACAAAATAAATGTAGAAACAGATATAATGGAGACTGGCAAAACTTAATGAGTCAATAACATATGATCAGCCACATTTAATGGTGATTTCTTTAAAAAGAAAGAAATATTTTGCATTCTGGTTAAACACATCTAAAATTGAATTGACCAAACAGTGCCTTTGATTTAGACTTTACAAGTTTTATAAACAAATGCATAAAAGTTTTAAACAAAGAGAACTTGCTATACTGTGGTGCAGATTTTTTTCTTTTTCTGGCTGTATCTAGATTGTCACTTACTTGTAGGGATACACATCGTGGAAACAATGTGAGACAGATAGAAGCCACCCAGTATTTATCAGCGTTGCACCACAAGTATGCCCTAAGGTATCAAAGTGGAGGCTGACTTGCCAGGGCCACTCACCAAGCTCCGCATCATTACCATTGACAATTCGACTTTGAAGGAAGGGTCGGTTTCCACAGTCTGTACAAAAAGAGAAGCTCCTTGTTGTATGAAGTTACATTAACAGTTCCAAGATTTTAAACTTGAACAGATAGAAATGTATTAGTGTTTCTATTATATAAATGTTTGTTTTGTGGTGGACGGCCTGAATTGCGTACAATTTGACTGACCTGATAAGATAATTATTTTAAAAAGTTGATCATTTCTACTTTATTAATCTATCATAATAGCTAACTTATACCTGTAAATGTATGAATGTTTTAGGCATTTCATAGAATTATGATCTACATCATTGTTATTGAAAAGTAGTTTGGAATATATTTAAACATAGCATCATCAGGCATAATTGTCAAATTGTAATAAATAGCATTACATTGCTTAAAATCAAGATAAATAAATCGTTCCCCTACTACACAGTTTAGCTATAAATGACAGTAATTTGCAAATATATGCTACGGCGTCATATTTGAGAATAAAAAAAAAATCAGCCAAAATGAATTCATTGACTTGTGGTAAGTATTAACACCATTAAAGATGTCTTTGGTGCTACAGGAATGCCACTATCAGCATGATATTGAGTACAGAATATTAGGAGGCACTGAGATTCAAATAAAACTGAAAAAAATCCCAGGAATGACTCCCCTTCTTCATGAGTGCTTAAAGCAGTTAAATTATTTAAGCAAACTCAATCCAATTCTTTGTAAACATCACAATGTAAAAAATATTTATTAAACAACTGCATGAAATAGTTACTTCAATTTTAACTTTCAATGGTCAAAGTTGAATGTTCAGAGTTTCATAGATATAAATATAATCAGTACAAGTGATCTTGAATGTACACAAAGATACAGAATCATAGAGTCATTTAAGGTGTACAGGACAGCAAAACTCCCTTTAGCCAATTGAATCTGTGTCAGTCAAAAACAAAAATACAGTTATTCTAATGCCATTCTCCTTTACATATGTAGTTGAACTTGCACAGGATAAGTTATAAAACTCCACATCTTTATAATAGGATATTATAACAAATATATAGCATACAATTAATTATTCTGCTGCTACAGTGAGCCTGTATCAATAATAAATTTAATTATTGTAAAGATGGCTTGTTGTTTTTTAGTTGGCACATTCCTATTTCAACTGGTGTTTGGATTCTCAAGATTGTGTCATGTCCTCTAAAAACTATTTTCTTTCCTTATAAGTAGTTCCACACCATTTTGGAAATCAATGACATGCACAAAGCTCCATTTTGTGAATGTAAATTCAAAACTTACACCTCTACATTTCCTTGAAATACAATGGTGCTCTGAATATTGGGTATTATTGTGCCACAAAGTGGGGAGTATTGCTCCACTCTGTCACGTTCCAAGCAGGAAGCATAGCTGCAAGACTAAACATTTTTTCCCAATATCAGTCTGACTCTATTGTGCCACTGTTGTGCATTTTCCTGTGGCTAGGTAAATGATTTGAGTTGGCAGCAGGTTTCCAGTTCTCTCTTTTAAACCATACACAGCACATAATTTGCATGGGGAAACTGTAATGGGATGAAAAGGCTACATGCCTTCAGTCAACAGTAACATACTTGAACCATATATGTTTCTGAACCCTTTCTCAGTAAGAATAATTTGGTGTCAGTGTCAAAGCTATTCTCTTTATGCACATCTTAGATACATAGAAAATTCTTGTTTTCATTCCAAGCTGGACTGGCCTACATTCAGGCTGCAAACAGAATGGTCATTGTGCATTCTGTAACAGAGAAACTTACCAGGTGATTGAAAAACCCAAATATGGCCTTCTCAGCTAAGTCATTCCTTTTCAGTACAGCTGACGAATGAAAGACAACTGTATCTCAGTCCTTCTTGCGGCTGAGTCATACAGTCTGAACAAAAGGAGACTGTTTGAAAAATGATAACCCCAATAAACCAATCAATTATTTCAAGGGATTAATTGGTTCTCAAGATCCTCAATCAACTTTTGTTCTACTTACTAATTCTAAACAAATGGATTTTATCCTTTCTCCTCAAGGACCTTTTTTTTTACCAACGCTACAATATCTTGGTTAATTAGCTGCCCCACTTTTCCCTTTTTCTTCTACCCAAAAATATTAAATACCCAGTTCTCAGCATTTTTAAGTTACTTTTCCATTATTGCCACAACATCACATTCCCCATAAGACTAACTGTGTTTAGCTCATCAATGTTATTTACCACACTTTGCATATTTACACATCTACAATTTAAACCTGTTGCCTTTATATTCCCTGTAATCCTTCTTAGTCTGGTCAGTCAAGGATGCTTAGTTTTGAGCATATAGATTTGATGTAACCAATTTAGCATGTGGTAGTGCCCCACAACATGATATCCTCAGCAAGAAGCAAGGACATCATTTCTCTGGGAAATCTGCAGTCGTCATTCCCACTACTACTCCATGGACAGATGCATCTGTGAAAAGTCGTTTGGTCAAGACAAAGTCAGGTCATTTTGACCCTCTTATTGCATCATTCACCAGCAGCCATAAGCTGCGTTCTGATAGTTATGTCTTCAGGAATTTGCCAGCTGAATCATTTGTGGTGCTACAGAACCATTCTTGGTTATGGATATTAAAGTCCTCATCCAAAGTATACCTGTGCCTTTGCTCCTTTCCATGCTTTTTCTTAGTGGTGTTTCAATATGATTTGCAAATTAAAGAGAATAGTCAGTAGCAATCAGTAGGATGGTACCTTGTCCACATCTGATCTGATGCAGAGGCTGCATGTGTCTGTAGTGATATTGAGGATGTGAGAGATCACTCCCTCTCAACAACAGATCAACCTTCCACCATATCTGATGGGGTGATCCTGCTAATATGACAGATTCTATCCAGGGATAGTGACAGTTAGAGACATTGAGTATGATTATGTCAGGAAGTTTATGGACTAGTCTATGGGGCAGCAATTTTGCACAATTCCCCAGATGTTAGTGAGGAGGACTTCACAGGATCAACTGGGCTGGGCATGCCTTTGTTGGTTCTGGTGCAGAGGTTAATGACAATGGTCATCTGCTTTAATTGTTATTCAATGTTTCTAGAACACAGTTATTTACTACCACTGAGTGCTTGAGCTATTTCAGAGGATGATTAAGAGACAACCATATTACTGTGTCTCTGGAGTCTCTGACCATGCTGAGTAAGATTGGGAGATTTCCTTCTTCAAGGAGGCACATAGTGCACCAGATTTCTTTAAATCTGAAGCTAGATTTTATTTTAATTAATTGAATGAAAATTCTGCAGCCTCTGTGGTGGAACATGAACTCATATCTCTGGATCATTTGTTTAAGTATTTGGAAAATAAATCACATAATATAGCCATATTATTAGTGTTTGCAATAATAGTGGGAACTGGCCTCATTCCTGTTACTACAGGTCAGCACTTTAGCAATTCTTACAGCCTGTTGGAGCATAAATGCTCAACTCCTTTGACAGCCTGCTTCCTCCTGAGCACAGAGTCCCACACCTACGATGGCAGCAGTCTAAGTACACATGGCAGTAACTGTAGACCTCAAGACCTCCAAATGACCTTGCATGTCTACATTCAGGCATTGGTACCATAAGATGCAGATGCAGAAACAGGCCATTCACCCCGTCAAGCAAGTTCCACCATTCAAATTCTGATCTGACAATCCTCAGTAACAAAAACAGAAGTTGCTGGAAAAGCTCAGCAGGTGTGGCAGCATCTGTGAAACAAAAATCAGAATTAACATTTCGGGTCCAGTGATCCTTCCTCGAACAATCCTCAACTCCACTTTCCAGTCTTTTCCCCCATTACCTTTGATTCCCTTGCTGATTAGAAATTTGTCTATTTCAGCCTTGAATTTGCTTAAAGACCCAGCTTCAACAACACTGCAGCAAAGAATTCCACAGATTCACAACCTTCTGAGAGAAGGAATTCCACCTCATTTTTCTCCTAACTGGGCGACCCCCTTATTCTGAGATTACACCTTCTGGTACTAGACGCTCCCATAAGGGGAAAACAACCTCTTAATTTGTCAAGCCCCCTAACAATCTTACATGTTTCAATAAAGTTGCCTCTCATTCTTCTAAACTCAAATGAATACAGGCCCAACGTACTCAACATCTCCTCTTAAGAAAATCCTTCCATATCCAGGATCAAACTAGTGAATCTTCCCTGGACAGCTACAGCACGAAATGGGTTCTTCAGCTCATCATGTCCGCAGCAGTCATTCACCATCCACCTATTCTAATCCCATTTTCCAGCACTGTCCGTTAGCTTGCATGCTATGGCGTTTCAGATGTTCATCTAAATATTTCTTACATGTATGGAGGGTTCACATCTCTACCACCATTTTAGGCAGCGAGTTCTAGCTACTCACTGCCACCAGGTGAGAAAAGCTTTCTTCAAATCCTCTCTAAACATCCTGCTCCTTGCCTTAAAACTGTCCCTAGTTATTTTCGTCTCTACTAAGGATAAAGTTTCTCCCTATCTATGCTCCTCATAACTTTGCACATGTCAGTCAGATACCACTAACACCTCCCCACACCTGTCTGCTCTGCTCTAAGCAAAACAAAACCAGCCTATCTGGTTTCTCTTCATAGATGAATCACTCCAGCCCAGGAAATATCCTGGTGAATCCCCTCTGCACCCACTTTTAAGTGCAACACTTCCTTACTACGGTATAGTAACCAGAACTGCACACAGTACTCCAGCTCTGGCTTAAATAATGTTATATACAGTTCCATCATAATCTCCTTGCTCTTGTATTCAATGCCTTGACAGTGCCTGTATGCCACCATACTTTTCCTTAGATAAGGAGCCCAAAACTGTTCACAGCTGTGGTCTGACTACTACCCTGTGGACTTGGATACTAGCCTTTTTGCAATTTATGATGGTCCTCGTCATTGACAGGTGGTTACCGATGTCCCACGCAACTTTGTGTGAATTATCTTCATGTTATCTTGTACACTGCGTCACTGATGTCATCCCACAAGTCCCCTGAAGCAGAACTCATCCTTCATGGAGATGGCAT